AAACAAACCTACTCCACTTTTGTGGCCTGCTCTCCTCGTGACCATTCGCGGACTACCTCGGAGGTTGTATGGGAATACAACTCAAATGGCAAGCACAAACCCACTCACCACTCTTGACGCAACCTGCCTGGGCCCACGACAAGCCATCACTGTGCTTCCCGTACGGTATCTATGCCCACCTAAAAACTGTACACAAAACCACGGGCAGGCGTATACCCGACCATATAGCCCTCCGCAAACAGTGTAACGACATTAGGAAAGAACTCAACAAAATGCTGGACTAACAAAGATATCGCGGCAATAACTCGGCGCTAATACTACTACCAACTGGTCATGGGTAACCCGCCAATCTCAAATCGAGACAAAGCCAGACACGACAGCTTCAATCGCTGCTTCGAGCCTACACCAATTCGGCTCTGTTCTAAGATTGTAACGAATACGTACATGTTCACATTGCTTGACTACCGTACCGACGGCGGTCTCTGCCCTGTATGCCCCGGTGGCCACAAATTCACCACCAGCACACTCGTCTCTGACACATCAACAGACTTCCCCCATACCCTGGCTAATAACGCTGTTGAAGTACTACTTCAAAATTTTGGTCAAAACTGAGTCATCACGCTTGTTGGTTCCACCTATGATACTTCCGATCCAGGTCAACCAGCATATACCGAGTGCATCCGTGGTCTGGCGCGGCGTTGGTTCACCCCCAACCACTCCTGGACCGAATTATGACGGATAACATGGTTCTACTCGGCATTTCGTACTCTGCACTAACCCATTCCACGCCACTACACGGTGCAAACCCGATCCGTACCCCAGAGGTGGGTACGCTACTTAGTAGGTCAGCAAGCAAATACGTGGTACACTCGATGGTGTCGGGATTTTTGTCAGCACCGGTCTGAAATAACCCAGCGAATATCCTCCATCGTCTGACTTACTTGGCTCGAGCTTCAAACGGGAATTTACTGACCACTTCTTCTCGTCAATTTTTCCCGAACCACTACAACGACTATGAGAGCCATACCATCAAATGTACATACATTGTAACTTATCTCGTTTGAAATAAATAATATCATTCTTATCGCAGATACTGGTGTAGTATTGAGTTCCTTCACTATGCTAAGCAAAAAAGAAATGAGTTTAATCGAGTCTTATTTAATTCAGTTTCTTAAGAATGTAGCGTAATAAATACAGTAGTTCGGTCACTTTAAAGGTGGTCAAAACCAAGTAACGCTTAGTGAAGAGTGTTAAATCTGAAATAAGTTGTTTCAGTCAGAAGTGCCGTTATGAACGGCGCGCCTGCTATATTTGTTAATCACGTTCCTATGTGGGACGAGATTTTCTTTAACAACGGCAGATTGTAAAATTCTCCGTATTTAAGATTATAGTCTCCTAGTTAGTCATCCTTCTCTCTCACCAAGTCCTTTATTCTACTATATGAACCGGTCTTATGGTCCAGTCCTCTGGTCCGGATAGGTCCGGTTCTCTGGCCCGGGCATAAATCTCCACCCAATATACTTTGTCCACAAGGCTTTAGACCACACAGGCCATAGTGCTCTGGGGCTCGGTACTGACTCCCGTATGCATAACAAAGATCGTCGACCACCATCTGCTAAAGAGAAGTTGAATAACGGGCTCGATAATCTAAGTGACAGTATCAAAGGGGGCTTGGGCTTGGGTCTATCTCACAATCTATGTTGAGTGAGAGTTTGCGTAGCAAAAATCATGCTACCAAAATCATCCAAGCATGCTGTGAGACAAATATATCGACATGTTCAGAAAGGCAGTCAAACTTCATGAGACAATTAAAGAGCTTGCTGATGACCTGGATATCTTGATCTATTTTTTATGTCCATTTTTGAAGGTATTTTATCACAGTACGATTGAACGTCTAAGTATTTTTGTTGTGTTGTGAAAGTTCCTATTCACATTACAGGGAAGATCAATATAAACATTCCACATAGTCTTGGCAATTGAATCACGCCAGTTACTGACATTCTGTTGATCTGCAGCGGGTTTAGAGCTATCATCAGTGTCCTTAATGGGTAATTTTTTTTCTATCATATTTCCACCCTCTGTCTTGAATTCTGTCGTATGTTTACAAGATGAATATGCAGGAAGAGCCCCCTGCTTTTATGTTGTTTTATATTCTTGAAAGACTTCATAATCGGAATCATAAGTACTTGGAGAAAACCCTAAAAACCTGTAATCTCGCTCACTATTATTCTTTGCAAAATCTCCAGATCTTCATCGACATTCTTACTATGTAAACATTCCATAGCAAACATCGCATATATGGAACCCATTTGAACCCCCATCTTGCAATTTAACTCAAGAAGATATTAAAATCATAACCACACCAACGTCGCTTAAATTGCCGAGAATAACATTCGATGCAATTTTGTAACCGTGCGTGTCGACGATTAAAGAACTCTTTCCATGTCTTTGGGCTGTTATCGCGTCCTTGTACATATTGAAAGTCATTTAAATGATACCGTTGTCCATTCTATAAAGTAAGACTTCACTACGATAACATATAAGCTTTGTATGCATGAAAATAGCATCCAGGTATAATATAATATGTCACAGAAGCACATTTAACAGATGTGTATATATTACCATCGTGTGAACATCCCTCTGCAGCCGCCAGCACAAACATCATAATTGTGGTGAATGAGAAGGCGACGTTGTCCTTGCGGTTCGGCATTCTTGTATACATTTCTGTAGGAACTTCTATTGTCTTGAAGTGAGACCCTTCTAAAACCCACAATACACCAAAAGAGTACCTATAAGATAGCTTTCCCAGATTAGATGAGGTAGGTACTTGCTGGTTGGCATTTTAATGTATTTTTTTATACAGTGCAGTCGTATTCAGATGTATTTATAACCTGCGTCTTTCGTGCATGTACATCATTCTGACTGCAACAACTTTAATCTTTCCTAGATTCACTACGTATCCAGCGAATCACAACAAAAAAATTCATAGACCATCCCCGGATTCAGAACATCCGAACGATCATCGTGAGTATGATGAGGTTTCAGCTCTTGAAGCAATCTTCAGAAATATATCAAGCGGTATACGGAGATATCTCAGAAGATATCTATAGTTAACGCTCTTAAATATCTTCGTTAGTATATGAGCGCCTCTTTTATGCAATCAGCGTTGAATGTAAGATACTCATTAGTTGGTTGCCTCTACTGTCACGTTTACGGCACCCACAACCGTATATGCGATGACACTTGCAATAGTTGCCAGAAGTACATTGTGCTTACTAACACCCATGTTCGATGACATCCACCATAGTGTATATAGCTCATAATTACTGCTTGCGTGTTTGGTTTGTAGTATGCCTATAATGTTTTGATATTATGTATATTATTTCCATGCACGTTACTTTCAAAATTCGTTTAGCAACGTGCCCTTTTCCATGAAAGAACGAATAACATTACACAACGACCAACCATGTATTAAATGTGAATTCAGAAGGTGATTTTGCATAGAAATAAAATCAAACATTTGAAAGTAAATAAATTCATATGGACTGTTCTTAGGTCTCTGATATGGACATTTTTCAAATTTGAGTTGCAAAATGAATTTTTGAGAAGCCGCACATTTTCATTCATTTTTGAAGGTTCGAACAGATATTTTCACTCATTTTGAAGGTTTGAACAGATATTTTCATTCATTTTCACTCATTTTGAAGGTTTGGACAGTTTTTTTTCTCCACTCATTTTGAAGGTTTAAACAGTATATTATAAAAAAGTAACTAAACTGTCAACAAAAGAGGGCAACTGTCAACGAGTTTATTCGAGTGTGTGAATACTTCCAGCCGGACGTGGTATTCCGTACGTGATCATATTCTCTCAGATGGATGGTAGTTTAGTACAGATGTACATGATATACAATGCTCAGCAAGGCTTAAGTGGAAAGGTAACAGTGATTACTTTATCATGAGTATACTTCGGTCCTTGGAATGAACAGCATAACTATTTGCTATACATACATATTGTTGAGGAATGCTGTCGTCTTAGCCTATTTCCTGGGGGAATGTATTCAACAGCCACAGAGGGATAGTCCGGTACTGGATAAAGTACCGCACTGTGCTAAAAATCCGTGTGGATTTTGGACAGGGTATTGTGAAATGTGAAATGTCGTGTCGGGATGAATGACGCTATACTCTAGAAATCGGCTTAAAGTATACTAGAGAGTAGAGGGAGAGTAACGGACGAAAACGTACTAGAGAGGCAACTTTGGAAAGTTGCCTATCATATAATTAGGATATAGGGTTTATTGCATAACCGTGTATACTGTATTGTGCTTGGAAAGGAACAAAGTCAGATCTGGTAGGACCATTGTGCCGGATAGACATGAAGCCAACACAGTTAGGTATTACGAGCATACTTTAGAGTAGCTCGAAGAATTTCTCATGAAACCGTTGTCAGATAGCTGTGTTGTCTGCTACAAACCGGTAAAAACATGGGCCAGAGAGAGAATTGGTTGTGAATCTAGAATACCAAACGGCTGCATGAATTAACCAAAAGGATATTCCGTGATGAATGCGATGGAGAAGGTATTCGATTTTCATTTAAAAGTTTAAACGGGTGTTCAAGTTTGAAAACCAAATAATTACGCTTGTGCGTCGATTCAGGTCTAAACGACTGACGTCGAGTGCAGTGCACGATAGGTCGAGTGCAGTACACGATAGGCACTAGATATATATATAAATTCAAAGTTCTTCACCTATAGAAGATCATATTTGTGAGGTTCCCGTTGCCGTAGAAGAGTGTTTTTGTTTATTGTGGTGTTTGTTCATCTTTTTTACGAGTATAGACTGTAGACCGTTGAAAGACTTTGAGGCTATTCGCAGCCTACTTTCCATCAATCAAATGATTACGCTGGTCGAAAATGTCTTGAGGATATTAATTGATTTTAAACGGATGTTCAACCAAATAATTGTGCTTGTCGAGTGCTCCCAGTGTTTAAAAGAATAGAGTTGTCTATTGTGATGTTCTTTCATGGGTAGACTGCAAAACGCTGAAGCCTCGAGATTATTCACAGCTCTGTCCAAGCGGACTAAGGATAATTAGCAAGCACTTACTCATCTTCAACTGTGAGCAGAGCTTGGTCTCATGACAGGTGGATGTTGATTAATCTTGGGAAGAAAAACTTATGTACAGAAATTTTGAAAAGTTTTTATTTATCTTTCATACTTCCTTGTTCGAAGTAGTAGATGAAACAACACACATTCGCCTCTACGCAGCTAGGTACAGGGAGGATGGGCGGTGGTAGATCGTGACATAAATGAACCACTTTTTCGTTCTATTTGGTTATTGCACACGGCCAGAGTAGAAGTCCATCGACTCAGCCCGAATTTTGCATCGACTAGGTAAACGAGTTTGAGGGCTGCACCCCATACAAAAAAACTAACTTTCTTACAGCAACATACCAGAGACATACTCTGATCGTTCAAGCAACTAAAAACCGATTCACCCAGACATATGCAGATGAGGAATTGATCTAGAGGTGCGTGCCACTTGGTCTTCTCAAGTGGCATAGGCGTTTCCGAATACTTTGAAGTGAAATCTACGATTGTGAGCTTTACAACACCATAAGAACACAGCTACGAGCCTAGAAAAACACTGACGCTGGCCCAAAAGCTTCATTTTGGCCTAGTAGGCTCATGAGAACCCGGGGTATGACGCGACGGGTTTCGCGCTGTTGTCTACACCCCGGTATACACGCGCTTTCAGCTCGCCAACAGTGCCCACACTGTACGCCAACTGAGAGGGGTGGTCCACATTCCAGATAAGCAAATCGGCTACATAGCCTTCCTTGAGCATACCGTGCGTTTCTCCACGTCCCAATGCTTTCGCCGCATTGCGCGTCACGCCAAAGACGGACTCTTCCGGTGTCAGCCCAAACAACACACAGGCCATGTTCATCGCCATGCGAATGGAGGCCGAGGGGCTCGTACCAGGATTTAGGTCCGTGGCAACGGCCAAGTTTACACCGTGTGCACGCAGTGTGTCGATTGGTGGTTTCTGCGTCTCTCTGAGAAAATAGTACGCGCCAGGAGATAGCACGGCCACTGTGCCAGATTCGGCCATAGCCTTGACACCAGCCTCGTCGAGATATTCAATGTGATCGCACGACAACCCTTTGTACTCAGCTACGAGCTCAGCGCCATGCTGATTGGTGAGTTGCTCTACATGACCCTTGACCTTCAGTCCGTGGGCTTTTGCACACTCAAAGACCCGCCTGCACTGTTCCCTGGAGAACCCCACACTCTCACAGAACACATCAACTGCTTCACACAAGCCCGCTTTAGCACATGCTGGGATGATAGTGTTTACAACTTCGTCAATGTACTCATCTGTCCGTCCTTTGAACTCGGGTGGGACTGCGTGTGCCGAGAGACACGTGCTTGCTACCTCTACGGGATAGGATTCACTCAGTTGCTTGGCTGCAGTGAGTTGCTTCAGCTCGTCTTCTAGATTAAGTCCATAGCCTGACTTAATTTCTACGGTTGTTACTCCTTCGGCAATCAAGGCTTCTAGACTGTACAATACGGAAAGGAAAGAAGAAGGATAATTGGTCAATTGTGGAACAAGAATCCAGCTGAGCTGAACTAAAGGCAATGTCGAGTGCCTCATGGTTATATAGCACATAATGTGCTTGCGTAAAATGGGCAATGTGCCAAAGCAGTTCAAGTAGATCACAAACACTGATAACTCACGTGCGATCACAAAACAGAAAGATCTCATATCCCTGCACGAACAATTTACGCGATTCTTACCGTTTGCTACTCTGCGCGACCAGGTCTTCCAGAGATAGCTCTCTCGTTGCTTTCACAGTAGAGACGATGCCCCCACCTTCGGCAGCAATTTGTTCATACGGCACACCATTTAGTCGCTTCTCCCATTCCTGCGCCCTGTTGCCACCATACACCAGATGCGTGTGGCTATCAATAAACCCTGGGGTAACCCAAGCACCATTCAAATCTCTCACCTCGACGTTCTCATTCATAATACTCACTATATCGGTTTGTGGGATGATTGCTAAAATAATACTACCTTTGGTGTGTATTGCGTGCCCTAGAATAGCACCGTATGGTGCGGTATGTTTTGGATCGCATGTAGCCAACCGACCATTAATCCAAAGGATTTGTTTAGCGTTTTGATCTGCCGTCATTCTCGCTGCTTCGATATAATGTTATCTTGGATTTTTGAACTAGCTACCTATTATCTATATACGCTAACATATGAAATAGAGCTTTTAAAAGGATGTACTTAGTGTCCCGAGTGAGCGCAACGTTATAATGTGATATATACTTATGTCTGGGAACTGTGATGAAAATCAGAAAAACCGATGTATTTTTTTTTCGCTCATTTTTTAGAACAGGATTTTGTGACCAATTTCTGTGATGGGAGTATATATTTCGAAAGGCCCAGGCCAGCAGGCCCCAGCCGGAAAGGGGCCACAACAGTCAGCAGGGCACAATGGTCCATTCTCTCTTCTCTTGTGCGTGCCACACTGTCGCTGTGTGATGAGCATAATATTTTGGCGGTCTGGCGGCGAGTAGCGAGTAGCGACTGGCGGCTAAAGCGTATCAAAAGGGTTCTTACTGGATGATTTATCTCGGGTCGGAAAAAGCACGGGTACTAAATAAAATGACAATAAATATCGGATAATTACGATACACGTCGCACAACGAATACGACTGGCTTTAAAAAAAAAGAAGGCTTTCAGGCCTATTTTTAAAATTAGTCTGTATTCTGGAATCGAATTTGATATTTAGACTCTTTTTATATATTGTGAAATGCCTCAATTTTAGGGCTTCTGGCATCGAACTTGATAGACTAGTGACTACCTGACTACATTCAGTCATACGTCCGTCAGCCGCACGACGTCGCACAGACTGATGGCACATTGTGACAGAGGCTACAATCAATAATTTATATTTATATTTTATAAAATGATAAAAAACAAATTGCAACAAAAATGAAAATCGGACACTCTGGGGTTGACAAATGCAAGAATGACAATGCTCACTCTGTATCTTTAGCAGTTGCTCCGTTTTTCTCTCTCTAGTTGTGATTTTATTGACGAAGAAAAAGCTTTGCGGGTGGCGCGGGCGGTGAATTGCGGCTAAAGTGTTTGATTTTTGTAAAATACTAAAACAAAAAAAACAAAACCTTTTTTTTTCTGTAGCAAATTTAAAAAAAATTTAATTCATAATAATAAGAACAAAAAAAAAACGAGATTTGTTAAGACTGCGACCACTATGCCTGCGACCAAGTCTTGCGACCACTATGACTGCGACTCTCGCCTGCGACCACTAAATCTGAAGCTTTTGCCTGGGACCAATTCTTAAAATTTAGTTTATACATTTATTTTTCAAAGTTTGCACAGGAGCAGTAGTACAGCGGCAAGGATGTGGGACTATCTAAGATAACGCCTTTTTGGGCACAGATTCATTTCTTTGTAGTGGTATTTTTTTCAACAAATATATACGTATTTATTTACACATATATACATATATAAGAATATACATATACATATCCATATATATAAACATATACATATACATATAC